GCAAGTTATCAAACGATCGCGATTCTCCGAGGTTTATGGAAAATCGTGGCAGAAACAACTCTTCGTCTGTACAGATATAACGACGAACCAAAACGAATGTTTGCCAGCGTTTTGCAAAATCGTAGGGATCGAAAAACGATCCAGGAAATTAGAGACAGCGTAGCAGACTCCTCGTTTCCGTTCAACGAAACGAGAAGACGAGGGGTGCTCGAACGAGCCGCAAAACTTTCCGCAAAGTGAGTGTCTCGAGGAGTCGCGTCGCGGCCTGGACGCGAAAAACCGGAAGATTGTTTACAACTGTTTATAGCCGCTTCGTCTCGGCCGGCGAAATGATCGCGGAGCACCCGGAGAGAGCAATTTAACTTCCGTTCTCAAGACTTTCCGCCGACACACAGGGACAAGCAGCCACTCGCTTTAATACTCCCCGTAGCTGTACATCTTTCTGAATTTTTCAAACATTCATTTTGCTACGTTAGCCTCGTTATTAGAGGCAACCCGTGATAGACGAGAGTGAAATTGGTCCAATTCCATTTATCTGGCAAGACGGACGATCGAAGTATGACTTGGCTGTTCCGAAACGGGGACCCTTAAACGATCTAGATCGACGGACGATTCGAAGGAAGAAGCTCGAGCTTGTTAGACGCGAGCAATTTTAATCTAACATTAAGAGATTGATGGTTATGGAAGCGTCTATATCGGGAACACTGATGGCAGACCTCGGAAATCTGTGTTAAAAATTTCGCGAGCCCGACCCGCGCCTCCAATAATATTAATTGATTAATTCCACGGGTCGGAGCATCGAATAAAAGGGTAGAAAACTGATAATTGAGTTTGGTTCAAGTATTGCTGGCGAAGGCGTAGACACGTTCCCGATACAAATGCTCCCTGTAACCATTAATCTCGAAGTCTTTTCGTTTACATCGCCCATGGAGCAAATAATGGTTTCCGATAGTGCATTATTAATCGAATAACTACTCGTTTCGGCGATTTAATCTCGAATCTGACTTGTACGCGATTTGTTAATCCCACCGAGGCGCGGTTAATTCTGCGAAAAGTAGGTATTTCGGTATCGCGCTAAATACTTGAAACGGCCTCTAATATTCTAGCTGGTGATTGCTACTTGAGAATTTATGCGTTTAGCGCGGTCCACCCCAGTGGGCCAAAATCACGAGGTAAGCACGATCTGTCGCAACCAATCGAAGAGATTAAAAAGATTATTTCGAAACGTGCAAGAGTAGCGGAAGACGTACGAATTTTATATATAAATTAACGTTGATACTCGCCGTGTCTGTCCTGCTTACACCGTCGTCGGCTTTTCTCGCGTAATACTGCAAATTTCTTTATCCTTTTAAAAGCGTTTCTGTATTCCGGCCGAGGGGTGCATTCAAGTTTAATTTTACCTCAATTATTTCGCGACCTTTACGGCGGTCAAACGGGTGTCTCGTGCTCGCAAACGGCCTCGAATTTTAATTACCGCGAACTATCCCGCGTTCCGTCTCGCATAATACGTGCCCGCGCCCTCCAGCGTGCCACGTGTGCACAAAAAGAACCAAGTACTGCAGAGGGCAGGAAGACAAAGGGATTCGTAGCCACAGCAGGGGTGGCAGGGGGGAGGGACGAGACTTTTATATCGAAACGTCTCCCTGCAAGAACCGCGTGTGTCAACGCCAAAATTTATTTACCGTACCCACGGACAGACGGCAGAACAATATTATTGCCGCGACAGAAATAACCAGGGACTTCCGGGTTTCTCGTAAAATTAATTTTTTCCAAGCGCTTCCACCGTACGCAAAGACAATTTTATTTGTCCCGGCAGTTGACCGCGCGAGCAAGCGACGATGGAAACGCAATTTCGATATCGAATTCGCGGCTTCCTTCTCTCCGTTCGTTCTCACCCCGTTCCGTGTGTTCGTGCATAAAGTATGACGCAATCACACGCGCGTCAGCGTAATAATAATAAAAGGGGCGTCGACGCGGGCGGTTTCGCGCGTGTCACGCGTGGCCACCGCCTAGCACAATGTAACTTCCTCCGAAAGCGGCATCGTAGAAACAAAAGATTCAATTTTACAGAGACCCACGTTCCATCCCCCCACACCTCCCGGTAGCTCGACTCTTCTCGACGAGGGTAGTTCACGGCACTAACGAGCTACCCCCTTCGACGCGAACGCGAAACAAGCTCCCCTTCTGCTCCGTTTTCGGGTGGTAATGCGCGTTTCCTCCCTTCTGGCTGACTACGGGTGCGTGAAGGGACCGAGGGGGTGTCAGCGACGCCAACCGAACGAACAAGGGTCGCGAATGTTTTTGCTCTTATCGAGACGAGGACCCGAAATTCTACTCCTTCGATTTTAATCCACTTTCGTTGGATTACGCGGCCCCGGTTGCTGCCTGCCGAATACTGAACCGAATTTAGGCTCCTCTGGCCCGTGCTTGAAAGAAATAACGCAACACCGAGACGCGGAGACGTTGAACGATGATGGGGGTAGCTCGCAAGAAAATAAAGAGAAAGAGAAACGCAACGAAAGCCCGTCGAGTGAAAAATGAAAGAAGACAGGCGTGACGGGGGTGGAAAAGGGTATGCAGGATAGAAATAGGAATGTCGAGGAGGTCGTGAAGCACCGTGGACGGAGGCAAAGAGAACCAGAGGCGTATAGAGAAATCCCGATGAGGCGCGACGCGAGAAAAGGGAAAAGGTGGTGCGGCGATACGAAAGAGTTGCTCGAATTATACCGGAATAAAGTATGCGGGACGCAGACAGGTGGAAAGTAGATTACAATGGTCCTCGAAAAAAAGAGCGGGACGCGAAAGGTGGATCGAGAAGGACGGAAGCATAGACAGGAGGGATCAAAGCGGACGGGGTCGGTGAGATCGGAGATAGAGAGGCATGGAAAAAGCTACCTTTCCGTGCAAAGAAACGTCCGAGATGTCCTGCAAAGAACGGACAAGAAGAAGAAACAAACGAACAGAAAAAAAAAGAAAAAAAAAGAAAGATCGCTACGGGGTGGGTAGCGACGGGGAAAAAGAGGGAATCCGCCCTTGTGGATTCGACACAATGGGACACGCACAATGCGACGTCGGATAAGGGAGACAGGGTGGTTTAGGGCGAAAGGAGAAAACGAGCAAGTGGCGACGAAGGGCGAGGCACGCACCCTTCGCGTTTACTGCACCGCTCTTCGATCCGTGGATATTATCGACGAGATTTCAACCCCCCGTCTCGTTCCTCTCCCACTAATAAATAATAAAACACGTCGTAACGCAACACCCTACGAGAAAAGAAATCCGTCGACGACGCACGTCTGTGTGTGTGTGTGTGTGTGGGGCTGTTTGCCTCGAAAATTTTACCACAGGACCCTGTCTGTGTTTTTTAAATATAACATCGAGGAAGATATGGTCGCCAAAGGCATCGAAATATGGGAAAAATTTTAATGCAAGATTCTAGGTGCCAAAATAAAGAACACCAATTTGTTGGTAAAAAAAAAATTTCAAATCGTTCTGAAAAAAATATTTTCGGTTACGGGGGTCGATAACAATCATTTTTGGTCAATAGGCATACCTCCGAAATACTACTCACTTTCGAGAAAAAAATTCGAGTAGGTGTGAAATTTTTCGAGAATATTAAAAAATTTCAAATTGTTTTATAAAAATTGTTTTTAGTTGCAGGAGTCAATATTAATTATTCTTGGTCAATAGGCACACCCCGAAATCCCACCCAATTTCGAGAAAAAAATTCGAGTAGGTGTGAAATTTTTTCGGAAAATTAAAACATTTCCAATCGCTCTAAAAAAAATATTTCTAGTCGCAAGGGTCAAGTACAATCATTTTTGGTCATTAGACATATCCCCGAAATCTTAGCCACTTTTAAGAGAAAAATTCATTTCTGAAAATATACTGTCTGACCATACGTACATCTATTCCCCTTAAATTTTTCGAGGAAAAAATTCGTGTAGGTGAGCAAATTTGATTAATAATTTTGTTAATAACTTTTTAAGGAAGCCTCAATTAACAAATTGGTATTCTTGATTTTGGTCTTATTTTGACCTACAGAATCTCTCATTAAAATTTTTCCCAGGGTTGGCCGTTGTATATTATTTTCGCCGCGTTTCCAAGATCTACGCTCGGAACAGGAAGGCGCGCGGGGTCTCTTGTTCCGCTCGCGAGCGTTTATAAAAGTAATCCGGAGGATCGGAAGACCTCGTCCATCATGCGTGACACGAGACCATTCACGGAGCAGTCTATAAAGACAGCCTTTAGAGCGGACAATGCGCATTATGTACCCCCCTGGACGGAGGTTGATTTTATTGCTTCGCATAAATCTCCTTTCATCGATGCATACATTGATAATAAATCATGTAGGTCGGGGAAACGGTACACGGGCTTAAGAGTGCGTGAAAAATTCTTTGTCGGAGCTAGGACTAGGACTCGGCTTTGATAATCTCGTTGCTCGTGAAGATATTTTATTTAGACGCCATGTTTGGAAAACAGACGGTCCAAAGCACGCGTAGAATAAAAGAACGCGCGGGGGAGAAGCGGACCATTCCGTGGTCGATTCGAAAACGAGCGAGAACGGTGGCTCCGGTAACCGGCAATGAATTATTCGAGTGGAAAGCTTAGTCTTTATCGTGGAAGTCTATCAAATCGCGGCGATGCACGGAAGCGCATCGACGAGGGGACGCGTGCGAATGCTTGGACCAGGAGTTCGTTGGCAGCGTTCGAGATCGAGGCACGAAAATTCGCGATAAATCTCGCGGCTGACTGCCGGAACATACACGAGGAACAGTCATTTCCGGTGAATTTCTGGTCGGCGGACCAAGAATACTCGAGAGAGAGCGGAGGATCGATCGATTTCTGTCGCGTCGGAACGATGGCTTCCTTGTTATCGACGTGAAGCAACCCCGGCGGGGTCCGTTCTCGAAATAGCCGCGAAATCGCCAATTTTTCCAAACCGTGGAGAAAACAATGGTGTGGGTGGGGAAGAGAGTGGACGCGCGAACGCGAGTACTCACCGTAATCAAACGGATGAAACCGGCGAGACGGAATCACGTTGTCCTGCGAACAAACGAATAAAAACATTACGATCGCTGTTTACCCAGTGAAACCGTGTAAACGTTTGACAAACCAATCATAAATTTGAAAATTGAATCGTCCAAAACCCGTTTATTCTTTGAAACGATTGGTTTCGCGGATTTCGCGACGGAAGGCGGCCAGCCGTACGATATACCGTAAACGGAATTTTAATCGAAGCGCCGCAAACAAACCGAATAAATCGGCACGTTGAGCAATTTCGAGAAGGTGGCCGTCGAAACGTAAAACCAAAATTGAGAAATGCCCGTCAAGCCTGAAAAATACATTTTATTCTACATACCCTGGATCAACAGTTATTAGAGAACCTTGGTCTCTCGATTCAATATCGCGACGTATTCGAATATCAAACAACGATTTCGTGGAAGCAAGAAGCGAATATTACTTGAAAATTACGCTTTTTCTCCCCGGGGGACGAGCCTACCCGATTCGACGAGGGTTTCCTCGAGGGCCTTCCTTCCTATTCCCCATTGGAAACTTATAAAACGCTGAGCCAGCACGTTTCACGCGGCCAATTTATTATCCTGTTCTTTCCCGTTTCTCCGGCTATCTATTGTCTCGCGTCATAAGTAATTGCCGTTTCTTCGCTTCCCCTTTAAAAACAGTCGCGGAACATTTTTACTGTTCGCCAGTCCGTCGATTCCCGGACGATCGAGTGGCTTCTTTCGATTTTTATCGATCGTCACCGAGCTTATTCGCGCGTTGTCACCCTCTGGATCTCCGTCGGGATCGAAGCGACCGGTTGCCAATATGCAAAGCGCGACAATGCGTTCGAAATTCATTTTATCGTAACAACCGCGTTATGCAACGGTGAAATTTGCATGCCATGATTATTGCACGGAACCGTAGCCATTGAGTTCGACCGTCACGGTGCGCCGTGCACGGATTGAAAGGGCGACCGCCCCGTTTTCCTCATTTTCACTCCGCGGACTCTGGAATTCCGGCGATCCCCCCCTCGACCGCGCATTACGCGCTCTGCTTCTTTCGCGGATCGACGGAAATTTATTTCTCGACTCGAACCGGGGGTGAGTCGGGGACCGCGAAACAATTTTTCTAATCGATGCAAACCGATCGAACCGGGGAAGGATGGGAGGAGCAGGGGTGGATTTTTACGGGCTCTGTTTCCCAAGCAGGCAAATCGCGACAAATTTCGGCGGGCCGTCGATGCGGAAAATGAGTTTCCGCGCGGCCGGGAAGTTCGCTGGTTATTCGCGACTCGGTCCGGAAAAGTCGGAAGAGATACGGTCCTCTCTCCGTTCGACGAACAACGCGAGTTGCACGGTATTATCGTCGGCCTCTAGCGACACCCCGAACAATAAAGAAAAAAGGACCGGCTGGAGGAACGTCGGGCATTAAAACTTTCGAAATAACAAAGTTTCGCGAGCCTCCTCCGCGGAACGTCCGGACATCGACGAAATACCGTTCACGGGCAGCCGGAAAACCGGTGCTTTCCGATGCACGTGCGCGGGACGCGTCTCTGGACGTCCGCCACGGCGAGGTATAAAAAAGTATCGTAAAGGGCTCCCTGTTTTTTATTTATTTCGAGCAGAACGGAACGGCGCTGCTTCGTTCCTTTGTTTGTTCGAAACGATTAGTTTCAGCGCGAAATTACCGCCGCGGAAATTACGCAGCCGGATAGAAATCACACGTTGCAGCCGGGGCGTTTCGCGGATCGCGTCCAGGGTTCGTCAACAAACGAATTACAGGAGCTCGTTTGAAAGGAAGATCAGCCGGAAAATCGGTTAACGTCGATGCTTTTGCCACCGGGAAATCCGATTGCCGCGGGAGAGTCATTCTCGTCTCACCTCGTTCCGAGTCCGTCGACGCGATTCTTCCGTAATCAGATTACATACAATTACGGACGAGGTTCGATTCGTTGCGTTCGCCGGAAATTCATCCCGGCGAACAAACGAAAACGTTTCGGCGAGCCTTGGCTTTTACTTTCCGACACGGCTTTCACGGTCAAAATCGTATCAATATTTTCTATGGCTCGAAATTGAGAGGAATATTATGACAAAAATACGATATATTCCCAGACGACGGGGTTCGAAAAATAACAATCGCGAGAGGAGACTGTAAAAAAGTTGTGTAACTGGCGCCGGGACTTTGAGCACACAATGTTTTCTATTTCGATTAAACGAACCGGCGCGAATAATATTTGTCGTTCCGTGAATTTCATCCAGATTCTCGTCGTTTAATTTTTATACCTCGATCGAATCAATTTACAGGGGCTGGATTCGGTGTTTCGCGCGCAGTCCTGAAAAATAACGGGCACGGTACCGTCGTTACAATTAAATTAATAAATCGCATTGTTGCCCGGCAAAGCGATTCGCTTTATACCCTCCTCATTATTCGATTCCCTTTATTAACAATATCGCGTTACAAATGAAACCATACTCGATAAATTCTCCCGGCGCTGCTCCCATATTGCGTGCATCGTTCGCTAAATCATCCGGGGAGTGATTACGAACGAACGAATGACACAATGGGAAGGTGTAAGGGTACCGAATTCGGACGGACACAGGCATAATTCGATTAATAAAAGTTAATCGACGGATCGTCGGTGCTCCGCGTTCCGTCATGCGTTCTCCCGCACGTGAAATTCTTAAATAAGCGCTTTATTGTCTAGAAATTTTCGATGAGATCGGAAAATACGTTAAGCTGCGTCTCCATTGCGTCGACACGGCACGGCTACGTGTCAAAGCCATTTCTTTTTCATTCCATTAATAGTGAAACGCAAAATCTCTTTCGTAAACGGTGCTAATTTTTCTCATTATACAGAGCTTTTTAAAATTAAGATCGACTTAATTTTGTTAGTAAAATTGTATTTTTTTTTTCATAAATCGATGCATCCTTGTATCCTTTTGAAAAAAGTATTAGAGGCTTTAGGTTGAAAATTGAATAGTTTAGGAGTTATTAGTTTTGTCCTGAACTCCCATATACAGGGTGTTCAGCCTTGGGTGAAATTTTAATGGGAGATACTGGAGGCCAAAATGAGACGAAAATCAAGAATACCAATTTGTTGATGGAGGCTTTGTTAAAAAGTTATTAACTTTTGAAGTTCCGCCTGTACTGAATTTTTTTCTCGAAAATGCGCAAGATTTCAAGGGTATCTCTATTCACAAAAAATGATTGTAATTGAGCCTTCTAGTTAACAATAATTTTTTTAGAACGATTTGAAAAAATTTTTTTTCACTGAAACATTTAGACACCTTAATCCCTGCCGATTTTTCCTTAAAATTCGTTTTTGATTTTTAGGAAAGTTGTTTACTACTTTTTTGTAGATACCCATGGGCTCTACTTCAGAAAAAAATTTCAATGAAATATATTCACTATTGTGGGAGTTATGAATATTTGAAAATTGGACCATTTTTATGAGGTTTTCCCCTTTTTTTGGAGTTAAGGAATAATTTTCCGAATATTTTTGGATTTTTCACACATTCTCCACTAAAATACGCGTAGTTTGCATTTTGAAAAATTAAAATCGTTCAATCCGTTCAAGAGTTATGACATTTTAAAGATACCCATGAAATTACAGCATTGCTGGTCTCACATTAGATTTTCGGTAAGGAATTTTTTTTCTTGAATATGCGTAGGATTTCGGGGGTATGTGTAATGACCAAAAATGATTGTAATCTACTTCTGCAACCAAAAATAATTTTTTTAGAACGATTTCAAATTTTTGAATTTTGCCGAAAAATTTCACACCTTCTCGAATTTTTTTTTTTTCTAGGAAGCGGCTAACATGGGAAAAGGGCTGGAAAATCGTGGGGGCTAGTTCATATGTCTCACCCTGTTTAATAATAGACGAATCGTATCTTCAATCAGATAGGAATACTGACTCTGATTCAGATGTCGGCATAATATAATATACAATTGATTTAAAAAATATATTTAATGAAAAAATTCAAATAAACGTTAATTTTTTATTCTTTAACCCTATATTCCATGTACTCCAGTGATTAATTCAATTTTTTCAAGCATTCCTGATAAACTGACAAAATTTTTCAATAAAAGTTACTCAAAACGAAAAAATCGCGAAAAATCTTCATAACAGTGACCTTCACAACATATTTCAAAGTCGTCGAAATTGGTGAGGAACCGCTAAAGTAAATAATTACCTATAATTTTCACGGAAAAGTAGCCCCTTTATGAATACGTAAGAGAAAAAATTCCGGTGTTTCAGAGGCGTGTCGTGTATTTTATTAGACAACGAGCAATGATAATTTTATAGTTGTTTGCGGTAACGGGCTTCTCAGGTGACCCAGTGTTCGTAATTTTTGACAGAACGGACAATCGTCGTCGGTTGCGAGGAAGGCCGTGATTAAACGTGGCGCAATTCAATTTGCGCCCGATAATTTTTGCGCGGCGAGAGAGCACCGGCTTAACCTTTCGCGCGGCGGGCGTTGAAAAAACTGCTCTGTTCGTTCCGGGCGCGCGAAGAAATTCCACTCGAAAATTACGCGAGAAAGAGCCCGAGCGTTTAGACCCGGCACGCCAAAGAGGGAACTTTAAAGCAAGGGGAAAAAGGCGACGTGGAAACTTGGAGGGCGACGAGAAAATTGCGAAAATCGTCCTTCACCCCCCCCCGGGGGATCGAGCAACCCATCGATCGCTGGACACATAATTCTCACGGTCTCGTCGCGGTCTGAAAAAATCCAGCCGGTCACCGGTGACCACCGTGTCGGTGGAAGGAAGAAACGAGGCGTGAACAAAGTCGCGGATAAAACGGGAGAATTAAGTGGGACATCGCGCCGCGACGGGGCACAAAGTTCAGCGTGCGATAAGATGCGCGGCGCGATATTGCCTTGATAAATTGCGGTCGTTTCAAGCGGTATGACGAATACCGGGAGAAAATAGAGGATCGGGAATTGAAATATGGAAGTAAGAGGCCCCGTCGCGCGAGGGGGGCAGGAGTCGGGGTACGCGGCGTTTCGCCGAAAGAAAAATAGAACATCGAATACGCT